AATACTGAAAACAAAATAAATGGCAGCCTAATTTTATAGTCACAGCTGAAAGATCCTATTCATACAGACTACTTTAACACTGAGACTCTATCATAAATAAGAAATGACTCTTGAACAGTAGTTCAAGATCCTTGTTCCATTTACATTGTCATCAATCACCCTCCAATCACGAAGATGACAATAAAGTCAGTTGTCATTTTTACTCTGTAACTAATAAATTCCAAAATGTCTTTTAATGAGCCCTGGTTCTCCTTTACCACGGACAAGTGTGAATCACCCCTTTACACAATGTGAACAGCTTCTGCCCCATCTGTCACCCCTGTGACCTTCTCCACCCATCCAGCTCTTTGGCAATTCCCTGCCCTCCATGGAGTGCACTGCTTCAGCCTCCCAAGCTCCTGTCAGGTGGGATGTTCTCCCTTTATTCCCTTCTTTCCCTAGCTGGTACAGGAATAGCCACTACAAATACCCCCTTACTTCACAAAATCACTGAGTGGGTGAGGTTGGAAGGGACCAGAGTGGGTCATCTGGTCCAACCTCCCTGCTCAAGCAGGGTCATCTTAGAGCACATGACACAGAATTGTGTCCAGATGGTTCTTGAATACCTCCAATGAGGGAGACTCCACAATCTCTCTGGGCAACCTGTTCCAGTGCTCAGTCACCTGTACAGTGAAGACGTTCTTCCTCATGTTCAGGTGGAACTTCTTGTGCATCAGCTTCTGCCCATTGCCTCATGCCCTAGTGGCTGGCACCACTGAAAGGAGCCTGGCTCCATCCTCTTGATACCCCCTCTTTAGAAATTTTATATGCATTTTTACACTTCCTTTGCTCCATGGAGAGAAACAAGTGCTACTTTTATGACTGTTATATGATTCCTTCTTCTCCTCACTTATAATCAACTAATCATTCATTCTCCTTCTCCTCTGACCCACTGGCCCTGGGTTAGTTAGTACTGCTTGAGATCTCTTCTTTCTTTCAATCCTACATTACTACCTGAAGGGAGAATTATTTTCAGCTCACCCATACCACACTGAAGAGCAAATTACTATGTAAGTTAATGCAAGAGAGTGTTGAGGGGGCATCAAGGGTACTTAAGCAAGCAGGATAAGGAAATCTTTTACCAGAAACTATCTCTCGGTAAGAGGTACAAACAGTACCTCCTGCAAAAGTCATCAGCGAAGAAAAAGTCACCGGACTGAGGAGCGCACGGTGAGCGCAGGGGGCGCTGGCTGAGGCGGGGCGGCACTGAGGCGGCCAAGGGGCGGGGGAAGGACAAGGACAAGAGGCAGAGCAGGACAAGGGGCAGGAGAAGGACAAGGACACGGAGAAGGACAAGGACACGGAGAAGGACAAGGTCGCGGCAGTCCCCGTCCGTCCCCCCGCAGCCGCTCGGGATCGCCAGGCAGGAGGTCAGGGCTGGAGACGGCAGTGCCATCGGCCGCAGGGGGCGGCCCGGCCACCGCTTCCGACCAGCGTGCGGGGCTCCCGCCAGAGCAGAGGGCGAGCCGGGGGTACTCGAGTGCGCTGAGCCTCCGCCTCCCGGCTCTCCCTCTCCCCTCCACCCCCTCCCCACCCGATCCCTCCCTCAGATCCCGAGGACCCCCAACCCCGCTGCCCACAGCCCCTACCGGCGCCGCATCACATGACGGGAGGCTCCGCCCGCGGCCCTGTCAGGCACCGCCTCTTCCCTTCCGCCCCGTCCCGCCTCCCGCCGCTTCTCGCCGCCATGTCGGTGTTCCACGACGAGGTGGAGATCGAGGACTTCGAGTACGACGAGGAGACCGAGACCTACAGCTACCCGTGCCCCTGCGGGGACCGGTTCCTTATCACTCGGGTGAGGGGCGGCCGGGCAGGGGCAGGGAGAAGGGCAGCGCCATACTGCCCGTGGGCCGGGCAGGCGGCGGGGCCGTGACCGCTTTCCCGGGGCTTTTGCAGGAGGACCTGGAGAACGGGGAGGACGTGGCCACCTGTCCCAGCTGCTCCCTGATCCTGCGCGTCATTTACGACCAGGTGGGTGCGGGCAGGGCCGCAGGGCGCGGCTCCAGCTGGGTCCCTCCGCGTCCCGGTTCGCCGCCACAAACGGGAAGCGCCGCATTTAAAAATCGCTGATCTGGGACTAGATCTTCTACACGAGCTCTTGTTTTTCTGGTCTCCTGCTGCCTTGTTTGGGCTTTAAAACGCACGTGGCTGGGTGGGCGTGGAGAGGGGCACGGACAGAACGATCTCAGTGAGGTGAAGAGCTGCCTGTGACTGACTCCAGGAGCCTTGTCGGCAGCCTGGCAGCTTTTGGCATTCAGGTTTTGGGAGACAGATTCATAGCAGTTGAAATCACCCTGTTTTTCAACCTGGGTATCTGGTGGTTTTTTGCCAGAGAGGAGATCCAGAAACAATGTAAATCAACTAAAACCCTGCTTGCTGTCTTTAGGAGCAGTTCATGCGTGATGAAGTCGTTGCAGAACCTCTGCCAAACAAGGAGTTGGTTAAGTGCTGATAAATCCATCATGGACTGTTGCTGCTTTAGAGTGAGAAAGTATGGGAATGGCGACTTTGGAAAGAGATGAGGTCCTCCTCCTGGAAGTGCTTGCTGCTGTGGGATACAAGTGCAATAAGTGTCCGTCTTCTTAACGTGAATAAGAATTTGCTGGGACATCAAACACATGAACGAGTTTTGTTCCAAAGGGTTATACATTTAAAAAATATATATAAGTTGCTATGTGCATTCCAGAAGACTTAAAAGTTCTGATCCTAATTTACAGCAAGTCAGTATACAGAAGAGGAGCGCAGAGTTTGTGAAATCGTAACATTTAGTCTAGCAGTGGCTTCTTAGCCTGTGGAGATAAACGGGCTTGGTGTGGGTGAAATGGCTTAAATGCCAGCTGAAATGCTGGGGGACAAAATTTAGGAGTCCATAGGACATGATGCCATACAGAATTGACATGGTGCAGCATCTCCCAGGATTTGAGCTCGTGTACTTCCAGCCCATACTGAATATGGAGAGAAAATAAGAGACCCAGAGCCAGTGTTTACTCAGTGTTGGTAAATTGTCTTTACTACTGCAGGCACAAGGAAGGTGTAGTTGTCTTTATATCTGCAGTGGGGGCAACACTTGAATTGGAGCAGATCTGTTTATTAAATTACTTCTAAAGTTGCTTTGAAACATCTTTGGTAGCTGTTACCAAATGGCTCTGACATAATAGTGATGCCCTTTTGTGGGTGTTGTGTGAAATGAAACAAAAGGAGTCAAACCTTTTACTCCTGCATAGCTAGTAATGTGCAAGATTGTAATTTACTCCTGTTTTCTCAACAGCTTTGTGATTTGACTGTTGCAGCAGATATAAAATGGGCTGCAGCTCTTTGTGCCACTTGTAGTACATTTGCTGAATTTCTCAGCCTTCCTCTGTTAGTTCTGTCACCTCCTGGATAAGAGATGCACACATTTCACTTAAAAAGGCATTTTTTAAGGTAGAAAAGAGTTGGGAGAACATACTCCACATGGAGTCCAAGACTACTTCTTGTATTACAAGCCACTGCACTTAAATATTTACTTAAAATTATGGTCCTTCCTGTGTTTTAGTAGGATTTGACATCTATGAAGTTAAATTTGAGGAAAAATACTTGTGAAGCATTTATATAGTGAGTTTGCTCTAGGCACTAAAGATCAGCAGGTCTTACTGGATCCTTGCATTTAGCTATTTTTGTTCTTACAACATTCTGTGAATGTTGAAGAGAAACATTCTAGTTACTTAAAAAAAAAGGAAAAAAAGAAGAAAAAACCGAAAAGCTATACCTTTCAGTTGGAAGTTTTGAATGCAATAAGCACAACCCAGAGTGTTTCCATGCCTAAACCAGGAGGTGGCACTCACGTTACTTTGATAGCTGTGCTTTAAAGAAACAAAACCAACAGATGTGGTACTTTGGTTAGCTCTATCTTATCAAATATTTATTTTGACTATTTAAATAAAGATGTTTAAGACTCCACCAGTGGTTATAATGGGCTATTGCTTATTCTGTTTCTGCACCAGCCACGATGATTTCCACAGGTCTTGAGTTGCTGCTGCTGCTGTGGTAATGACGGTGGGATTTCTTCAGATTAGTTAATAAAAATTGTGTCAGTCTATCAGTAGATGCTGTAAAGCAAACTTACAGAAACCCTACTTAAGCCCCTGTTCAAATTTCTACTGCATAAATATCTTCAGGATTTTTCCACAAGTATTCTACATAAAATAGAACTGTCTGAGTTCAAAATGTGTTTGGACAACGCCCTCAGGCACATGGTGTGATTCTTGGGGTGTCCCATGCAGGGCCAGGAGTGGACTCGATGATCCTGATGGGTCCCTTCCAATTCAGCACATTCTATGATTCTGTGTCTAAAAGGAAGTAGAACAACTTTCAAATGCAAGACCAGGGAATGTAATGCATCAAAATAAATGGCCAAGTGTAGCTTCTCTAAAGGTGCATAGATTCTGCAGAAATCGTGATCAGATTTCATTTTATGTTGAAGGTCAGGCCCTGTTAAAAAGACCTATGAAACTTTTGTAGATAATTATTTCTATTCCATATGGTTAAATTCCTACATGGTTGTAAAAAGTGTTTATCAATTGAATTTCCCACTCATCTAAAATACTGGTAATGGCTTTTTTAACAGTAATTTTAGCAAAATTAATTAGTTCATTAAATCAGTTGGGACTGGTTTAAGTTTGTGCTTAAGGTTTCTTATCAGGTGTGAATAGGATCCAAGTTGCAGAATGCAATTTATAGGCACATTAAAATTACTTGATGACATAGTATATATATCAAAGATTTAACGAAGTATGCATTATGGTTGCTTTTCTTGAGGTTTTTTTACAGCATAACAACAGTAACGTAGTGTGGCTGTTAGAAAAGGATGTGGCCACATTTGCCCACATAAATTGCTTTCAACTCTGTCTCATTACAGTGTCTTGGAGGTCTCAAGGCAGTAGTTGCTGTCCCTCCAAAAAAGGAGGCAAAACAGGAATGGATGTCATGTATCTCTCTTTTTGTTGTCCTTCTTGAATCTGAAAGAGATGTTTAAAAACTTGAGCTGTTTTGTAGCTTTCCTTTCTGCTGTGCAGAGAGGTGTTCTGTAGCATGAGTTCATTCTTCATGAGAGCTCAGTGACGCTAAAGCCAAGGAACTGCCCATTTCTGTCTTTTGTTGACTTGTAAGAAGCTTTTGACTCCAGTGATTGCAGTCATCTTTTAAAATATTCTTTCATACTGTATAATGCCAGAACACTAGTCGGGGCAGTGTGAGTAACCCGTCAGAAATGTCCCTTGTCAGGAATTCGGTCACAAGGTTTCCTCACAGCACCACGGGCTCTGGCCTCTCATGCATTACTTGTGTATTACATGATCTTTGAAACTAGTGGCTCACTTTTCTTCTGAAAAGGCAATTGTGTAGGACACAAAAGTCTTTTGTTTGCTGTTTGTATCTGACAAGCAGATTGATTGATTATGTGTTTGATTAGGTCCTGGGCTCTGCACAGAGGAGTCCAGTGCAGTGAAAACAGCATCACGTGAATGTTAATGGAGTAATTCATACTTCCTAGAGACCAGAGAGAGTGGAACAACTTATGGTCAATTTCAGATGTTCAAGCTCTGAAATTGCTCATACTCTAAACACCTCCAAACTCCTGTGTAATACTGAAAACAAGCAATACACTCCGTTGCCACAGTTTTATGGGAAGAAATGGAAGAAAATTTGCTCTTCGTTAAACTAAAGAGGCTTAGCTTCTCTGAGCTGTCAGATTCTTGTTTGCATTTCAAAGAAACTCACTGAGAAGGTCGAATACTTTTGGCTGATTGTGCCTGTATATCAGTGGCATACACGATTAGCTTTAAATAGCTGTTCTAGAAGTCTGTGACACAGACCCTGGAACTTCAAGAGCTGGGGTCATTAGGCCACTAATTTTGCTGTTGCACTTGTTTCATCATCTATATGTTGGGGAAATCATAATGCCCTAGAGGACCCTTATGTAAATACCGTGACATTTCTTCCCTCCATCATGTTTTTTAATTTTTATTCTCAGCACTAGTCAGAAAAAAAGGATGTTCCTTGCAGAACAACTAAAGATCATTACATAGATTACCAAGTCTATCTACCAAGAAGCACATACTGAATAATTTCAAGTAAACAGGCAAAATTTCAGTTAAGAAAGTGAACTGACAACTCTGTATTGTCACTAAGACAAGCAGTTTCTGCATATTCCATTTCCATCTCCTCTATTCCAAATTAATGCTCAGATCAAGCTAACTGTAGGGATAGGTGTTTGTTACACTGAAAACTTCTTGAAATGTTTTTACAAATAGGATTTATCGAGATGTTTGGTGCACTAGTTAATGTTTGCCATGAATTTTCTCCTAGCACAGTTTCATGTGGATTGCTCTGAATCTACTTCATGGTAACTTAAAATGCTAATTTCTTAATGTCTCTCCATAGTAGCCATGGCATGGAGGAGACAGAGAGGATCCAAAGGATCCTATGAAGATGCTGGGGTCATCAGCCCTGAAACTGGTCAAACGTGTTTAGTGAGAGAGGCAACAACTGACAGAAGCTGTGCCAAGCTGGAAAACAGTTGTCCCAGTGTCACCTGTGGTCAGGGAGGAAGTGGGTCAAAAGAGACTAACCAAAAGGGTAAAACCTTAAGCAACCTGTCATCACTCCTTCCCACCCCTTCCTGTCACCATTGCAATCTGTTTGCATACCATGTCATCTCTCCAAAATTCTTGGCAGCTCACCAGCCTAGCACAGGCTTCCTGTCACGTGGAAAAGGATTGCCATGGCATTTACCGTGTCACTGAGCACAGCCAGCCAAGAGAAGCTTGCTCCAAAGGCAAGGTGGTGCGCGAAGGTCAGAGCAGAGCTGCCCTGTCCAGGGGTCATCATCTTTTAAGTCAAAACCAAGGTCTTTATCTTGTTGTTTGAATGCTGAAGCTGTTGCATTAGGGAAAGATACAATTATCACAAGACTCAAGGTAAAATCAACAGGAGCTGGCCATACACTGATTCTTTAAGTCACTTCTTCAGTGCCCTCTTCCAAGACCTTTGTGCTTCATGGCAAATGGTTTTACCTTGGTCTCAGTTGTCCTCCTGGACAAGTTGGAGGACAACTTTTTGACACATTCGTTACTTCAAGAAAAAGATTCCCATCCACCCGAACACTAAATAGCTGCAACGTTTCTGAGCATGATCTTTTTGTAGGTAGTCCTGTGGTATTTACACAAAAGATGAATTTCTGCTATAATCTTAGGAAGAATGACTATTTCACACTCCATAGGAAAAAATGACATTTTTCAAGGGAGGGCTTGTTTGTTTCTGTTTTTTTTCAAATACATTGAAAGAGATACCTGCTTAACAGTTTTTATTTCAGCATGTTTGATCATAGCCCTGTTGCTGCTTGTTTCCATGAAAACTGCGTACCTATGCAATGCAATACCATCTTAAGGTATTTATTTTTAGGCAATAGTGAGACTGCAGCACAAATTTATCATTTTTATCACTCTAAAACAGAGACTAGAACTGATGTTATAGCTCGTGACAGATTTTAAGATTAATATTTCTTTTAATTAAATACAGAAAACTAGATAAAATATGAACCCTACATTATCCTACCTTTTCTCTCATTTTGGTAGAACATATTTGACTTCCTATATTATGCAGAGGCTTCTGTGACCCCCAGTGCACTGCACAGGTGTTCCCACACTGATGGATTCTGGCGTACATCTCTTCGCTAGAACCAGACTTTGAATTTAGGTATGTAAATAGTCCAGAGGCAGTGATACAGACAAACCACTTGTCAGAGGGCCATTTCACAGCCAGCAGTAGAAGCTTCTGTCCTGGAGGCTGAGCTGAACTGTGGCAGCAAAACAGGTAAGTGCCTCAGAGCAGAACTGGCTGTCCCAGGGCAGATCAAGGGTCTCCTTGGTCCCATTGCATCCCCAACACTGCCCAGAAGCTAATGAAGAGTCTAATAATGACCAGGCCAAGCATTTGGGGGCACTTCGTTAGAACACCCTCCCACACAATTTGAAAGTTGTGGACTTCTTGAGACTGATGCATTTGTATTTAATAGCATAAATAAATAGATATTTCCATGAATTTGTCTAATCACTTTTTGAATCCACATCTCAAAATCCACTGCATCCCCTGGAAAGGAATTACCTGAGTTAAGCGTGCTTCGTGAAGAGACATATCTCTTTTTGTTTGTTTTGAACCCATTGCCCTGTAGTTCTTTTGAAGACGCCTTTTATATAGGAGAAGACAGTTTTGTGCTCTCACCTCTAGCCTACTGATGACTGTTAAGATTTTTTTTTCTTACTTTTTTTTCTTCTTTCAGCCTCTAAAGTCCTTGTCTAGTCAGGCACATTCCACACAGGAGCTGTTCCATACCTGCAGTTGTCACTGTTGCCCTCTCTGAACCTTGCCCAGCTTTCCTACACCATTTTTGAGAGGGAGATAAGAACTGTGCACAATTCTAGACACAGGTGCATCACACACGTTGGCATAGAGATATTTGTTCTCTATTCTGCTCTCCATTTTGCAAAAATTCTTAACATATGATGTGTTTTTCTCACACTTGCTGAGCACTAGGCTGACATCATCTTAAAACTTTTGTTTAATTAAGGGAATAACTTTTTAGAATCTAAGCCTCAGGATAACCATGTCTTTCACCTCCTGTCTCTTGCTCATGACCCAGATGGCTTTTAGGAGACAAGGTGACCATTGGCTCAGGTAGTTTTTCTGCTAGTCCCTCCCAGTAGTCATTCTACCACAACCTTCTAACAGCAGCTGATGAAGGTGTGCAAACTCCATGCATTTTGGTAGGACTGTCCCAGACTGGTTTATCTCCACTCCTTTCATCATTTAGCTGGCTTTATTTGTTTAGTTTTGTAATTTGTTACTTCCCTTCCATATTAGTTTTAATTAGCCATATTGCACTTCTTACATGGCTTCATCTCTTTCTTCAAA